ATTTAAAAATTAACAAAAAAATATTAATAAAACAATAAAAATACAAAATTAGAAAACCAAGTAAAATTTGACAACTGCACACTTACTCTATCACTAATATTCAAAAGCGAATTAGTCACACTACCACCACYACCGCCGCTGCCATTCAGTTGTGTGGTTAATAACACCGACTGCGGGGTCGCCGGTCGTTGATGTATAGCCGCYACTTGTTGTTGCTGTGTGTGCTGCTGTATATGTTGTACTTGTTGCTGTTGTTGTTGCGCTTGTTGGGTGSTCGCCTGCGAAACGATGACAAACTTTTGTGGCGGTTGACTTGGATGTTGTATGGCTCGCAACTGTGGTATAGCCGTTACAACCGAACTGCTAAATATACGTGAATTATTAATAACAAAATTTTGTATACATTTTYATAGTATATGTATACTTACTTAATTTGCGTCACTTGTGGTCGACCCACCGTTGAAGCAGTAGCGGCCGCTGAGGTTATCGGTGCATTAGAAATGCTGCTTGGTGTAGGGGTGGTGGTTGAAGGTGGTGCATTGCGTGCTTTTATTACGGCCTGACATAGTGCTGGACCCATGAAACCGTATTCGTTTCTACAATACCAATTAATATTTTACAGACATTAATATATATATTATTATAAAAAGCATTCAAGAACGGACCTATACTCCTCTGTATAATCTGGCGAACGTCGTATTTGTTTAAGTACTGGTGGACAACACTTTTGCAGCATGGCACGTATGTGACCAGCAGCTGTTTTATCAGTGTTACTCTGCATTTGGTTACCTAGCAGTAGAGGTTCAATTCGTTCAGATATAAATTTCAAGCGCGGTATAATGAAAACTTTCACAACTTCTGCGCCCATTTCTGTTAGTCCCGCAATAGCACCGTATAGAGAGGATAAATGTGTTTTGTCGTTTTGTAGCGCTTTACTAAAGATGCTGTAATGCAAAAAAAAATATATATATATAAAAATGTATATAAATAAAATTATATTATAGTATYTTACCGTGTTACACGCGTTTGCAGATTATTGGTGGAGGTGTTGAAATTTTTACAAATCATCGCCATTAGACGGGAGGCGAAATCGCGCAATGCCCAATGATTGTCCAATTCYGGTCGCATACATAGTTGCTTGGAGACAATGCATGTGGTGACCGATGGTATCAGCTCATGTAACTATATGAATATCAAATATATGAAACTTCTGTGTATTCCGATTTATTGACATGAAACTTACATATTTCTCTAGGTATAATGATGGATTATCTAATAGTGCGCGCACCATACGCATCAGATAAATGAGTAACGCCAAGTTGTTTTGCACAACATTTACTTTCACACCTTCCGCTATAAAAGTACACATTCGTGGCARCATTTCATGCAGTCCTGGATCCGATGCCAGGGATTGGAGCGCTTCGCCACGTCGGGGTTCGTCAGAACCAACACAAGCTTCGGTGATTTCTTTATAATACAGTTGTTGTTCCACAGACAACTCGTGCGTAGCTAACTGTTTAACATGCACAGTTTCMACATTGCGTAGCTTATGTATTTTCCCCGTAGCCGGTTTACCTGCAGCATCTTTTGTCACACCTTGTTCTAATTTAACTACAGGATTTACAGACTCCAACGCTTGAGAGTCCTTCGACAGTGGAGGWGGATTTTCAGGTATAGTCGGTTGAATTCCGTCCACTACTAACCAATGAGATCTTAAAGTTATATCCAAAGGTACTTTAGGTGCACCACTTTGCACAATATCATTTAGATCCATTTCTTTTTCCTCAATAAAATGTAATTCACGTCCGCCACCCGATGCAAATCGGAACGGCACGAAATCATTAGCCGTAAAACCGTATTGTGGTTCAATGTTGCGCACTTTGAGTGACTGATCAATATCGCTTAACAGCAAACGCTCACGTTTTGAGTGATGCATGAACTTGGCAGCATCCTGCACAATTCGCTTAATTTTGAAGCTTACATCTTCTGCCAGTTCTTTGGCGGCATCATCCGGTAGTGAACCAACACCGATGCTCTCTGCTATCACTTTCATAGATTCAGCAGATAGTGTCGTGCCGTAAAGCATATCACCAGCTACGCGTCCTGTGTTAATACTCATGTTGTAAGAATAAAATGTTTATAATTTTTTAAATTACTTCCTAAAATAATAGCAGAATAATATTATTTTCACAAATCGTATATCACGAATAAAAAATAAAATATAACGAAATGTCAGAGTAGGTAAAAGTGCAGTAGAGTACGTTCAATGATAGAATATAATTCAGAAATTAAAGGTTAGTTCACACATTTAACGGACTGTGTGCAGCTTTGAATAGTCATCCAAAATAACATTACCTTATGTTTACTTGATCTAAATAGGTATATGAGCATTCCCAAATTATTTTGTAGATAGAATAATCGTTATTTAAATAAAATTTAGTTTAAATAAAATTAAGATTGGATGCATTTTAGATTTGCTATTAATTAGAAATCTCACTTATCTCCAATCAGTTCTTAAATTCCTCAACACGAATCAAATCGTATCATACGTTTTTCTCATCTCTCTTTCGTTATCTTTTTCTACCCTCTCATTTGTAATTTCATTTTTACATTTCCCATTTGAACCTTTGTCAGTATTTTTCTTTCCTTTATTATTTTGATATGTGTATTGTGATTTTAATTTCATACGTTTTGAATTTCAACAATAAAATTGCAATTGAAATTCCTTAAACTGTTCGCATTCATTCAACAAATGTGCATTGCTTTAATTGAATATAAAATTTGTATAAAATATGCTAGGAAATAGTAAAATAATTGATTTGAAAGAAAGTGAAATCTCCAAAGTCGTCGACGCGGTCAGAAGTCATTGAGCAAAGAAAAACGGCGCCATTTTAAGAATGTAAATGCAGACGGATAAAAGTGTATGAATGACGGAGTTGAAACAAAAGAAAGACATCAAAGCAGTAAACGAATGCAAGCGTGGAACAAAGCAAACTAATAGTGGAAGAATACGTAAAAGCAACAAAGAGAGAAAASTGCCAGCAAATAGATGGAAAAAGTGAAAAGTGAATCTTTGTATTTTGATGTAGCTAATTTTTTCTTATGATTTTTAATTAGAATTAAAAATTGTGTAAGCGTGTAATGTGAATAAAGTAATGAATAAATTTAATAAGCATTTAGAGTAAGTGTATAGGCTGAAACGGATAGAAAACTGCAGTGCACGTAGGAAGAAAACGTAAAGTTGCAGAACATGTAAGTGCAYTATGTTAACTAAAACAAAGATAATCACCATACACAATTTTGTGTAATACTATAATATATAAATATTAATTGAACTGAAAAATTTATGTTTTTTGGTGAACTTATTAAGTGAAATGGGATTTGTTGTTGCTTGTGTATGCTTTAACAGAGGCACATACATACATATAAACATAAAGTGTTTGATTTTATTGGCTAGTTTGTCTGACTAGCTTACTAGCTGGTTGGGTTTTAGCTTGGTTGCGGCTATGGTGGTTTGACCTACTTTGTGTAATGGCCTATCTTATGATTATATAGGAACGGCTGATCAGTTATAGAGAACTAAAAATGTGCTAATAAATATGCGAAACAAATATTTTAATYAAAACGATTTTTTTGCACGAAGTTGGGTTTTACCACCCTTTTTCTTTGAAACCATTGCTATAATATGGTCTTTGCATACATATCTGTTGCAGCTGCACTTAAAGTTTATCCTGCGTTACGGCTCAGTAATTCCTTCCCTGCAAACATTGAAAAACCTGTAAATGGTGTGTTAATGCTTGCCAAATTATACAAATTTGCTGAAGTACATTTTTTAGTAGGTAGTAGGCAGGCTACCTAACCAATTTTTTCTGCATTATTTGACTACTCATACATAACTACGTGCATTAATACAATATGTTGAGCAGCAGGAGTGAAAAAATAAAGGCAATTTTTGTACAAACCCTCGGCGGTAACAATATAAATATCTTGCTTTAGTCACGTTAACCACAAAAGATTAATAGTTAAGAACTTTTAGCTTGATATGATTTTATTTTCATATTTTAAATTTTTTTAATATATATTTAAAGTGTTGGGAGTCYTTACATAATAAAGCATTAGGTTAGTTTGTCAACGGTTGCGAAATCTAATTTAATTTAATATTATTTTAATTTGTTTTTATTTTTTTATACCT